ACATTATCCTCCCAGATATGTTATAGTTAGCCTGAGTAATTACTTTTTGATTGCTGTTAAATATGGATCAATGAGGTATAACGTACTTCATGTAAGCTTTCCAACTCGGCGTTGTAATACTTAAGACCCTTCATCTTAATAAGTCTTCGGACCTTGTTGCTATAGTTGCGTAGCCTATCGGCGGTTCGAGTCAGTGTGACGTCATTTCAACTTAAACCACGCCCACTGCACACGGTTATAATAGAGATCAGTGGGAGTAGCTTAGGAAAAATGTATTTTTTTTTTATTTCTCTCAGCCAACAGCGAATAATCGCCAATTACAGGCCGAGTAAAAACATTAAACGTAATATTACAATATAAATTTATGATACAATTACAATACGAAATGTATACACAAATAAAACAAAACTTAACTGAAAAACATAACACCAAAAAGATTTTTAAAATATATATATATAGGCCTATAATAATACTTTACATGTATAGCAAACAGAACAAGAGGACTAAAAAAAATTCAGTCGGAAGTGGAATTAAAAAACATTTAGAGGCGACACAAAAGGAGACGGTACACACAATAAAAAAACCCGCACAGACAGGACAACTCTATGCAGACAAAAACATAATAATAATAATAATAATTGTACAAACGATGGTGCTTGTTTAATTGATAAATAAAGGTGAATTATGAACAGCTTAAGTTATTACCGAGGGAAAGGAAAACAGTTTGTTTTAAGTTTTCAAAGTCGCTTCCTATAATGTCTGTATTAAATGATGTTTGTAATCTTCCCAATCAACCGATTCTTCCCACACTATCGGTACGCTATGAGTTATCGTTTTGCGAAAAGCAGCATACAGAGCTTGCAATCCCTCAGCAAAAATGTACCTGGATCCTGGGTGACGAGTTCACGTATATGCCACAGATACTGTAATGATCGGATGCGTTTGGTCGCGATGAGCTGCACACACTGCTCATTAAGAACACTGAAACGAGTCTTGAATGCCTGTAGTGAGAGATGAAATATTTACCAACGCACTGTTTGTTGGTCGAATTGGAACGGCATGATATTCGCTTAGGGTGCGAGAAGTCCCGGGTTCAATTCCTGGACAGACCTTTTTTTCAAGTAATTACTCATTTAACACAAGAACTAGTCGTTAAGGTTCAGAGGTGAAAGACCAGTATTCACGAACAGCGGCTTGTTGGTCTAGTGGCATGATTCTCGCTTAGGGTGCGAGAGGTCCCGGGTTCAATTCCCGGACAAGCCCTCTTTTTCAATTAATGTTGCTCCTTCAACACTAACAGTTACACCAGCTTCAGTGGTGAAGATCCCAAAATGAAACGAGAGAAATCAAATAGCCACTCTGTTTTTAGACAAACTGCGCCAGACCTAAAGTAGCCAGCCTAATTTACGCGCATGTGCACAAACTAAAATTGCAAACATAAACAAACACGTACTGCCGGCATTGAAAAATTAGCATCGTTTAAAAGCTCTTTGAATAGTCCCACATTGTGCAATACAGTCTTTTTGGGGGAAATTACCGCATTGCGCAATGCACCAAAACACAACCTCGTCCCCAGTGGTTACGTGTTTCCTATACCCTGATTCGATACAGCAATTAAGTAATGGATTTATATCGTGTAGGCCTAGTTGGTGATTTTTTTAAAAACTTTATTACCAACGTGATATTAACGTTCAATGTGAATCCATACGCCAACTCCATCTAAAAAACAAAACTCTCTTTTCTATTTCTCTAATAAAAATATGTAAACATGTAATGATTGTAGCATTTTACTTTTGAATGAAATTGATTGTGTTTTACCCCAGACACCGCATACAAAAACAGACACTGATTTAAAGCTTTGGTGGCCTTCATGACTGTGTAAGATATGTGAACTCACAAGTGATCCAATACCAGGGTGAGAGTGTGGGAGTGCTGGGAGCGTATTGCTCGACACCATGGGGACGAAGTTGACCAAAACTTCAGTAGTTAATCGTTGATCGTCTGGGTTCAACGCATACGCCCCTTCCAGCGGTCACATGATACGTACATAATGGTGAACTTTGATACCGGTGTACGGTTCCAATGGGCTATTGATTATTCCAGAACATTCTGGTTGTTTCAGTATGGCGAGCCAACTGAAAACATCGGCGTCCTCGAAGCGCAAGAAACGAAAAAGAGGTAAGCAAAAACCGAAATATATATTCAATACGGTTACATGAAAAGCCGATTAATCTAGAAAACCTGGTAAACCGACATGCTAAAAACAGAAGCGATTTTTTAAAAACCTATTACTACGACGAGTCATGGTAAGATTACATGATCTAATGACCGCATTCAATTTTGAAGCCATGTGCATTTGTATTAACTCATTTACATGATAATATCGTGTATTAAAACGTATTTAAATATAGCTCCCGAACGAATTTAAAAGTCCCTTAAAACTATTCCTAAAAAGTGTTCACTGACCTTGCGTGACCCGTTTTGTGCAATGTTAACGTACCCACCCACATCTTTAAATCGGAAGTGATTGTTCTACATGCTCTACACAACTGAGTAAATTTACCAATGCTTGAAGATGCCCGGCGACAAGATTGTGTTTGGCAGGTTGTAGCAATACATGTACACCTTAATAGGGCGTTAGCGTCCACAGGTTCCCAAAAGCTAAAGACCAGGGGTTACGGAAAGTTTAGGCGATGAAAGTGCGATGGAATAGGGGGAATAGGGTCGGGCCGTCTGTTACGAGGAAGCCCTATGCTATGGCCACCCATTGGAGTAGACTATGTGCTGCTGTAGGCCATACAAAATAAATGCTAGCACGAACTGTTGGTAAAATGATGTCATGTTTTTCATTAGAAAAAAAATGATGCTCATCCTCGGCAAGGGGGCTCATTTACCCAAACTATTGATTTTTTTCGCCAAAATTAGGACTTACCCGTGCTTCCCTCTGCTGAAATTCGTCTCTTATTAAAAAATTAATTTGCCAACCGAAGTGGAAGTTCACGGCATGCGATTGAAGTAAAACTAAAATCCCCTTTCAATATAGAATCCCCTTTCAATATAAAATGTATACACACGTGAAGCACGCCGCGGACAGTGTTTTTATTTGCAGCATCAATGTTTTTTTTTATAAGGAAATAGCAATGACGTAACACCATTTATATCACTCAGTCATGCATGCACACTAAGTGGATATTGGAACGAACTATATGGATTGCAAGATTTGTGGTTCGAGCTCATGTCCGTTTTGCAAAGTGTCTTCCATTCACACAGCGTGATAAATATTCAAGTTAGGGTGCATGAGGTGATTGATTAAAATACGATGTATGCTGCAAAAAAAAAAAAAAAAATACGCGCACCACGGCTGGGTTATGGCCGTATCATTCACGGGAAAAAAATTGCTTTCGGGAACCAATGGACTGTACTGCGTATGCAGAATGTACTACTGACCCGGCCCGGCGGCTGGTGGATGTCGTAGTCAGCATAATAGCCTACTCTAGGCGCCCTGTCATCAGCGGCGCAGCTACGGGGGGGGGGGGGGGCATAAAAAATGGCAACCCCAGTCGCCCACCCCCAACTGAAAATTTGACATCCATAGAAAAGCACATCCATATGAGTTACCATGATAAGCTGGAAGAATATAAAGTTATATATATTTGTATTAGAACAAGTCTATCGGGATACGTGTATAGGAACAACGTTCGATATTTTTTTTTTATTATTTCCAATGTTTTCATAATATAGTTACAGGTTAACTATTAGTGTACGAAATGTTCGACTGATGCAATTTGCTTTTCTTTCAGATGATGATATCAATGTCGGAACTAGATGTGCGGAAGAATTGTCAGTGTTGTCGAAGACGGGCGGTACGTCGCTCTATTTCCTTCGTTCGAACGCTGTGACAGTTGTGAAGCCTCGTTCGAGCTGCCAATAGAGCAAGAGGGAGGCGGTAGCAGCTGTGTTCACTCTTGTTTAGGTCATTCATAAATACCTATGACTGTTTATCCATTCCTATTGGTCGAGAGCCCGTCACTTGGCCGGTTTAAAACGATTTATAAACACCAGCTGGCTGGTCTTAAACACTTTCCCAGTGTAACGTCAAATTTGGACACCTCTGAAATCCGGTGCCCTTTACCGTTTTATTGGTTGAACTTTCACATTCTTACTTAGGCATGCGAAATTAGGCATGTGAGTCAGTATTTCATAGTCCACAATTCATATTACATACACACAGCTGCGTTCTGCGCCACTTTGCGCAGTACGCGCGACGTGCCTGCCACTTTCCATTATAAGGAATTGTTTACGATCACCATGACAAGCGCATTTGTACCCTCAATTGCCAATCAGTAGACATTTCTCAGTGATTTAATGTCCTTTTTGGGGGGCTAGGGGTGTCAGGCTAATTGTATCAAATCAAGTGGAAATATATAAGGCATTTATGAAATGACCTATATATGACAATTCTCTTTATAGCATGAACACCTTTCATTTAGACATGAATCGCGAAAAAAAAATGCGGTTTAAAGAATAAATCTTATATAGCTATACACAGGTTTACAAAGGTCATTGACCTCTAAAAGGTCACCAGAGGTCAGATATGAATTTTTCCACATCTGATCATTATTTTCATCGAATGAAGACCTATGACATATAGGAAATAGTGAACTTTAGGAAAGTGAACTTTTGAAGAACAAAAGTTATAAATAGAGTATGCAAAGTTCATTGACCTCTAAAGGTCATCAGAGGTCAAATATGAAATGCCTCCATATCTGAAAATTTTCTTCATGGCATGAAGAACCAACATGCCAAGTTTCTTGCTTTTATCACAATTTGCACAATACTTTAGCGTATTGTGGCTATGCCGCACAACTATTAACGCCGCTACAACTAACAACGCGGTATCCACGGAAAATTGTTTGAATGGCGATCAATCGGTGTAGGGTGCAACCAAGTAAATATGATGTGATCTTTATTTATTTTCTTGTTGGCATTTGCCAGTTTGTAGGACGTTAGTTGAATCACGATCCATGGTTAACGTATCTGGAAATAACAACACGTTGTTTTTCGGCGGCAACAACACAGTTAACAACTTGGAGACGAAATCGAAAGGTAAATTACGAACCAAATCAAACGATATTCGGATCAATTTAACCATCATGTTTAAATTTGATCAATTTGTCATTAGGCCTAAAGAATCATGTTTAAACCAAGCTTCTCAACGAACCAATTATTGGCAAATCGATTAGACAGGATAATTGCTGGAGGATGTGATAACTGACTACTATTGTCTCACTTGGAAAAAAAAGAAGAAGAAGATAAGCCACTTACTGTTGACACATTAATTGTCCACAGGTCATAGAGATGATGCAGCTGGGGTTGCTCGGGCATCCACCGCGTGTTTTGATGATGCGGTGGAACCACCCCAGCATCGAGGTCCTCGGTAGGCATCCGAACCACTAACAGGTAAAATAATAACAGTCAATCACCATGGAGCTTATTCAAGAAGAAGCCTGTATTTTATAAATTGTGAACTGTTGAAAGGGATGGTGCCAGGCTATTTTTTTTTAACGCAGCTATTGCGTTTTATCACAAATTTGAAATTATTCATCAGTCTCAGACTGGTATTAATGTGCAATTAACTTTATTTCATTGCCTTCATTTCTCTTCGCAAGTTCCAAAAATGAAAATTTTACCATGCTCTCAATTTAATATCGCCCATGGCGGAACACCACCGTATTATAACCCCATTACCATCATCAACACTGTTACCTATAAAGTAAGGAAGTGACATCAACCATGTTTATTTATGTTAAGTTTAAGTATATCTTAAAGCTGAAACAGTTTTCCCATTTTTTTCCAAAGCTGTTCGCGAGGACCAATCTTCGGCGCCCGGGATAGCTGAAGTTTTGAATGAGTTGCAAGTTATCAAGAGTGATTTATCCAAAGTAACATCGGGAAGTTTTATACGTGCGTCGAGAAGTTTTATACGTGAAGAACACTTTGAATACTTCACAGGTGTTTTAGAGGGAACTTTTAAGCGTATTGTTACGAACATTGATAGAGACGGTAGTGTTTTTGGTGGCAGGAAAAGAAGAAGGAGTGGTGAAGACATTTCGTTTGAACAACACTGTTTAATAGGGTTGGTAAAACTCAGACATAATGAATCATTTGAGCATTTGGCGAAGTTATTTAACATAGGAGAGCAAGACTTAAGAAATGCATTTCTTAAGTGGATCCATTTCATGTCGAAATTTTCGAATGACGAGAAGTGGCCAAGCAGAGATACAATTTTTGAGCGTTCGCCTAAGGAATTTAAAGAGAAGTTCCCGAATACAGTTGCTATCATAGATGAGATAGGAGTAGTTTCAGGTTCGGATAGGAAATGGCGTGCGTTTTTGTGCTTAGATCCAAGTGGTTCAATTCTGTATGCTTCAGACCTTTACTCTGATTCCTTATCAGTTAAAGAAATTGGACGCGAAACTGGTTTGTTGGCTTCAGTAAAGGAAAATGTGAGGAATGGAAAGCTGAAAAAGAACGATAGATTTGTTATGAATAAGTCCATGAATATTAGAAAAGATTGTATTGCGCTGGGACTGAAAGTTATTGAAAATGCTGCTTACAGGAAAGATGCTATGAGATTCATTCGCGATTCTAAAATATTGACTGAAATGGATCCTTCGCTTGTTCGGTATGTGAACAAAATATGGCATGTTTGCGTGTTTTTACTGGGTTTACGAAACAAGATCGACTCTATTGCGCGAATATGATATTTGTGGGTAATTTAGTGTGCCATTGGTGGAGTTGAGCTGTTGGTACTCGTGGGCAATTGGTGCCCAAACAATGCATGGGTTGGATATTATTGTTGAGTGGAGCTTTTGGTGCTCTTGGGCAATTGGTGCCCAAACAATGCACGGGGATGAATTGTTGAGTGGAGCTGTTGGTGCTCTTGGGCAGTTAGTGTGTGTTTACTTGTAATTGCTTGTTTTGCTTTACAATTTGGTGGAGTTGAGCTGTTGGTACTCGTGGGCAATTGGTGCCCAAACAATGCATGGGTTGGATATTATTGTTGAGTGGAGCTTTTGGTGCTCTTGGGCAATTGGTGCCCAAACAATGCACGGGGATGAATTGTTGAGTGGAGCTATTGGTGCTCATGGGCAGTTGGTGTGTGTTTACTTGTAATTGCTTGTTTTGCTTTATAATTTGGTGGAGTTGAGCTGTTGGTACTCGTGGGCAATTGGTGCCCAAACAATGCATGGGTTGGATATTATTGTTGAGTGGAGCTTTTGGTGCTCTTGGGCAATTGGTGCCCAAACAATGCACGGGGATGAATTGTTGAGTGGAGCTATTGGTGCTCATGGGCAGTTGGTGTGTGTTTACTTGTAATTGCTTGTTTTGCTTTATAATTTGGTGAAGTTGAGCTGTTGGTACTCGTGGGCAATTGGTGCCCAAACAATGCATGGGTTGGATATTATTGTTGAGTGGAGCTTTTGGTGCTCTTGGGCAATTGGTGCCCAAACAATGCACGGGGATGAATTGTTGAGTGGAGCTATTGGTGCTCATGGGCAGTTGGTGTGTGTTTACTTGTAATTGCTTGTTTTGCTTTATAATTTGGTGAAGTTGAGCTGTTGGTACTCGTGGGCAATTGGTGCCCAAACAATGCATGGGTTGGATATTATTGTTGAGTGGAGCTTTTGGTGCTCTTGGGCAATTGGTGCCCAAACAATGCACGGGGATGAATTGTTGAGTGGAGCTATTGGTGCTCATGGGCAGTTGGTGTGTGTTTACTTGTAATTGCTTGTTTTGCTTTATAATTTGGTGAAGTTGAGCTGTTGGTACTCGTGGGCAATTGGTGCCCAAACAATGCATGGGTTGGATATTATTGTTGAGTGGAGCTTTTGGTGCTCTTGGGCAATTGGTGCCCAAACAATGCACGGGGATGAATTGTTGAGTGGAGCTATTGGTGCTCATGGGCAGTTGGTGTGTGTTTACTTGTAATTGCTTGTTTTGCTTTATAATTTGGTGAAGTTGAGCTGTTGGTACTCGTGGGCAATTGGTGCCCAAACAATGCATGGGTTGGATATTATTGTTGAGTGGAGCTTTTGGTGCTCTTGGGCAATTGGTGCCCAAACAATGCACGGGGATGAATTGTTGAGTGGAGCTATTGGTGCTCATGGGCATTTAGTGTGTGTTTACTTGTAATTGCTTGTTTTGCTTTATAATTTGGTGGAGTTGAGCTGTTGGTACTCGTGGGCAATTGGTGCCCAAACAATGCATGGGTTGGATATTATTGTTGAGTGGAGCTTTTGGTGCTCTTGGGCAATTGGTGCCCAAACAATGCACGGGGATGAATTGTTGAGTGGAGCTATTGGTGCTCATGGGCAGTTGGTGTGTGTTTACTTGTAATTGCTTGTTTTGCTTTATAATTTGGTGAAGTTGAGATGTTGGTACTCTTGGGCAATTGGTGCCCAAACAATGCATGGGTTGGATATTATTGTTGAGTGGAGCTGTTGGTGCTCTTGGGCAGTTAGTGTGTGTTTACTTGTAATTGCTTGTTTTGCTTTATAATTTGTTGTGATGTCATAAGATCAAATCCCTTGTGACAACAGATGTTTAGAATTAAAGTTGATAATAAAGTCTTGAAACGTTGTTTACATTTTGATTATTTGTTTATCTTGCGTTTACACCTAAACATATATTCGGAAATTGTTGTTCTTCCTCTATATCGTTTGCATTCAGCAGCCGTTTTTGATGTTTTGTGAACTTAGATTATGTAACAGCGAATCGATCTACTGCGCAATTTTGTGGAACAGAACATGTCCCTCAAACATGGCTGGAATGCAATAGTCTCGACGATTTCGAAGCCAGAACTGGGGGATTTTTCAAACTCGAACAAGTTCGGATCTTTACTAAGGTTCAACAGCTGTATCCAGGTCCCATCCATTAAATGTCCATAAAGCATTCTTCATGATATCAACTGTTATCAGGGAAATGTTTCTGATGGAAAACTGAGAAAACCACAGTATGGAAAAAAAATTACAAATGCTTAATGACATTGGCAGTTCTTTTCACGAGGCCAGCAGTTTCAAAGTTAATCTTGAATTTCAAATTGTTTCCGTGTGAGGATTGAAATATTTTTCCCTTGAGACGCATGGCGAAATTCAAGGCGATTTCACTTTTTAGCTGTTTGTAATCGTTTCGGTTAACGTTTTGCAGTGCTGGGCTGTACAAACTTCGCTTTAACTTATTTTGGTAACAAAATCGCTCACTTATGAATAACGAAGATTTAAAGATGCTTCAACGTTAATCAGAAAGCACATTTGAACTGAAATGAAAAGAAATGTTCATAATATTTGATATTGATGTAAAATATGCAAGTAACGGAAGAATGAATATATATAGATTACAAACGTCGACTAAAAAGATATTTAAAAAACATTACTAGGCATTACACTTATCATTATACCTACCTTTTACCCAGGGTAATGTTTATCTCACTTAGCCAGGCCTTGTTTTTGATGAGATGCATTTCCTTTGAGGAATACTGAACTGTGGATATATAGCATTGCGTTAGCTGTTAGATGCAAAGTCATGTCGGTCTTTATAGTGGTATGATTCTCGCTTAGGATGCCTGAGGTCCGGGGTTTCATTCCCAGATAAACCGTATTAGTTTGTTTTGACGTACGAAATGTGAAATTCCCTTTTCCTGCCAAACTCTCACTTTGAATACTCATATTTTACATGTGATTGACAATTGTAAAATGTGCGGTGCCTCGGTTTGTAAAGTTGTTTTTGTAAATAGTCCATGCAGTCCTTCTTACAATTCACAGAGCATCCCCTGATTAATTTACTTCCGTGTAGTATGGTAAGTTGGCATTGACTACAACCAGGTTCGTAAATATTCCAATAGCATCTTTGCACAGAATCTCCACAGCGGATAAGTGGAGAAGTTGATTTGGCATCTTCTTAAATTTTTGTGTTGTTTTATAACGAGTCAGAAAAAAACCTGTACCATATTAAGATTGCGCAAATAAATAGCGCGGTATATTACTGTCCTGTGACTGCCCTGATTTTGCAATGTGAAACTTTTGAGACGTTGGTGGCAGCAAACACATCGATCCCTTTTCCACTGTTTGCGTCATATTGAGCATGCGCGCTGTTTGGCTTAAACCCGAGGTAAACAATTTAAAACAGAACCGATATGTCTGCTGCCACCAACGTCTTCCATTCTGTAAGCCATCAAGCAAACAGCAATTGTTTTGTGACAGCAACACTTTTAGTTGTGAAACTTAGATATGGAGTAAAATCGAAATTTTATATTGGCTCGTGGGTGTAGTGGTGTTATTTCCGCTTCGGGTCCACAAGGTTTATTCCATCAACGTCTTTCAGATTTTTATAAAAGGTTGATTTTTTTAATATTGGCGATAGAACGCCGTCCGTGAACGTCGGCTTGTTGGTCTAGAGGTATGATTCTCGCTTCGGGTGCGAGAGGTCCCGGGTTCGATTCCCGGACAAGCCCTTTTTACAATTAATTTTAAGTTATAACTAGAACACTGAAACTAGTCTTTAATGTTCAAAGGTGAAAGACCACTATCTTTTCGGTCCAGTAGTATGATTCTCACTTAGAGTGCGACATGTCCCGGGTTCAATTCGGGCGTTTCACAATGCAGTGCGCCACCAAGAGTTTGCCATGGAGAGTCTATTTTTCAAGTTTATGGTCGACAAAACATGGCCCATTTGAATGAGTGTCAGTAGACAACTTGAGCTAATTTGGTATAAATTGGGGCATAGCGTTCTGCCGCCTTACAAAACACACCACATTGATAAAAAGCAAAGAAAAGGCAAAAAAAGATACTCGAATCATACGCTTACGAAACTACTGACCGGAAAAACGAACAATTTCAAA